AATAAGAAGGGTAACAATAATAGCAACTAAAAGATATATAGTTTCCTATATGTCAGGCACTGTCTCAACCATTTTGCACACATTAACATTTAATCCATAGAACAGCTTTAAGCGTTTGTGCTATTATTAGCCCCATATTTCAGATGAGGAAGCTGAGACACAGAGGATGAAGTAACTTGCCCAAAATTGGCTAGTTAATAAATACATTCATATATAGTCAGGCTAACTCCAGGACACATCCTATCCACCACCACTGTGAATCTTTTAGGAGACCTTTGAGCATAGGGTGAGAGGAGTATTTCTATCGTTCAGTGCCTCCAAGGTAAACACACTAACTAGAGAGGTATCCTGTACTAGGCTCTTGCTTGGGGGCAATACTGAGGCCTGATATGCTGACATTGCAAGTGTTAGATAGGATTCAAGGAACAGGAGCTGAACCAGCTGAGCCTTCAGATATGTTCCAATGCTGAGATCCCACACTCCCATGTGCCAGAAGCCCGAAATAGCATGATGGGAAACAGTTCTTGGTTAGCCACAGACACCTGGCTGGTTGTTTTGGCATCATAGGCCATTGCCTACCATCAGGGGAGACAAAGGCCTAGTGAGCAACTGAAGGGCCACAAGGAAGCCAGAAGGAACACTGAGTAAGATACACGAAGGGCTAGGGAAAGTCACACTGGTAGACAGTCACATAGAAATTGCTACACATGTGCCCAAAGTAATGTAACATCATAATACAAAAGTCCACCAGAGGGGCAGGTTGAACAATCTAGGTACATTCAAGCAACAGGGCATTACATAACTGTGTAAAGAATGAGACAGATGAATGTTTTTCCCAAATATCTTCAAGATATTAAAGTGAAAAGCAACCTAGTTTGTAACAATTAAAGGTGGCAAGTGGAACAAGGCAAAATCAGGGCAATCACTAGGTGCAGGGCTGTGGGCTCCTTCCTAGCATATGCCTACGAGAGCAAGGAGTTTCAGTATGCTTAGCAGGAGGAGGGGCAGTTTGTTCTTCCCTAGATATCGCAAGGGGAAGGAGGGATAGAATCTAGGGTTTGAGTTGACATTGGTGTGGACATTTTGAAGTGTTCAGTCTGTGTCTCTACATATGTGTAGTAGGTTCTCATTTGCATAAAAAGGAGGGAATGTTTACATAGACACACACCCCTCCAGCACATGCACAAGATATTTCTGAAAGAATACACAGAATATGTGTAAACTAAAATTGGTGGCTGCCTCTGGAGATGTGGAGGAGAGCTAACATGACATAGTTCCCTTGAACTTAAAAAAATAAACAAAAAACTATGTGTGTATATTTATTTTTCAAAAATGAAAACAATGTAAACAGCTTAAACAGCCTCTGGAATGAAAGCTTTGGAGGCCTCCTTGGAACCTGTGTGCCTTAAAGTACATGTAACAATGAAGCAGGTAGATCATTATTAAAGAACCAAACTGCTTTCCTTGAGAGAAACACAATAGTTGTTCCTTTACCTCCAGCAAAATGTGCTCAGAGTCCTCAGACTTTACGACCCTCTGGTGTGGCACTGCAGGATAAAGCACGTACAGTGAGGTTAGTTTGAACCACAAGGTCTGTGGTTCAAACTCACATGTCGCTCCTCAGAAACCCTATACAGGGTCACTATGAGTTGGAACTGACTCAATGGCACTGAACAACAACAACCATTTCTTGAAACGAGGCTGAAAAACCATGAGCTTTGGAGAAAAGGCCTGGGGTCACTGGAACGTTATCCATTTGAGCTCATAAAAGATTAAAATAGCAACCATGAAGTATCTAAACTAAGTGTGGTTTCAGAGGGCTTCCAGGCGGGACTTGTCAGCCAGAGAGCTTGCTTCTTACAAACACTGAGAAGCAGCCAGTTTCAAAGCAGGCAGAGCAGACGCCTCACCTGGTGAACACAAGCGGCTCCTACACCCTGTGTGGCCCCTCCCACATCTGTGGAAGCAGTGCTCTGGCAGTTTGGCTTTCCAAAGCTGCCAGTCAGGTTCCGAGTAGAACCAAGGGCCAGGCTGTGCAGCAAACAGAAACAAGCAGGCCTTCAGAAGAGCACCACCCACACATACCCCCTGTAGTTGGCCAGGGTCCTTTGTGGAAGTCTGTCCTGAGGCAGTAGCCTCTTTCTGAATATTCTGGAATTTGCCCAGTTCAAGGCAAAAGTAGGGGATTCTGCACTGGGGAATGTTGGAGGCAGGTCCAGACCAAAACATCTTGTACAATTTGTCACTTGACAAATGAGGAAGCTGAGGCCTAGATGGTCAGTTTTCTTACCCCAGTGTCAGAATTTTTAAGTACCTAGGGTTTTCCTTCCCCAGGGCTGTTTTTTATTATCTTGTTGTTTGTTGTTAAGTGCTGTCCAATCAGTTCCAATTCATAGCGACCCTGTATGGGGTTTCCAAGGAGTGGCTAGTAGGTGTGAACTGCTGACCTTGCAGTTCAAACTGACCTTGTGGTCCAGTGATATACCTACAGTGCCACATATCCTACTCCCCACTTGATTGGAGTCTTGGTGTGGTGCTGTAGGATTAGCACTGAACTGCTCCTCAGACTCTTAGCTCTTATACAGGGTGGCTATGAGTTGGAAGCCACTTGATGGCATATAATAACCCCCACCACCTTTAGGTTCTATTGGGTAGCACAAACAGTTTGTGTTCATTGACCAACCCAAAGGTTGGTGGTTCAAACCCACCCATCAGCACCACAGAAGAAAAGCTTGGCAGTTTGCTTCTGTAAAGATTACAGAAGCAAAGATTACAGAAGCCAAGAAGCCCCGTAGGGTCACTATGAGTCAGAAGTGACTTGATGAAAATGTGTTTGGTGTACTCATCCCTAAAGACACAGTCCCTGTGTGCAGATGGCTCACAGACATGCCAAAAAAAGGTGACAGTACAAAGAATCCACATGTCAAGAACCTAATGGGTGGCTTCTTCACTGTTGTGAAGTAGAGGGAACAGTCTCTAGGGACCCATGTGAACGAGGAAGGCTTTACGCAGGAGATGGTGGAGCACATGTAAGCAGAGTGGAAACTTGCAGTAGAGGCAAGTACAGTGGTGGGACTAAGAGAAACGTGTGTTCAGTGAAGACCAGGATGTTGTGAGTAAACTAGCAACTCCGGAGGGAAGTGTAGGAAAGTGGAAAAAGGCTATTGTGCAGGAGCTTGATGGCCTGGCTAAGGGCTTGAAACGTCACTGTGGATGCCAAGTGGTGGTGGTGGTACTTGTGTCAGTTCACCATGTCGGTTCGGACTCACAGACACCTTGCATAGGGTTTCTGAGGCTGTAAATCTTTATGGGAGCTGAAAGTCTTATCTTTCTCCTATGGAGCATCTAGTAGATTCAAAATATTGACCTGGCAGTTAGCAGCCCAGCTGGTAATCCACTACGCTAACAGGGATCCTTGTATGTGTTGGAAGTCATAAAAGACATTGGAACTCTGCTTTAGAAGGATCAAATAGTCGGTGTGTCGAGTAGGTTATCAAATGTAAGGAAAGGCTGAAGCGTAGGGACCAATTTAAACCTATTAAAAGAAAAGTTGGAAAAAGAGAATTCTATGTTGCCGCTGGTGTTGCCACGAGCTATAATCCACCCAGCAACAGCAACACAAAAGGGAATGTTGGCGACAGCAGTGGTGTCGTGCTAGAATTCTCACCTTCCTTGCATATTATTTCTGGTGATCTTTCCACATGCACAGCCACCACCCGTCTGCCAGTGGAGGCTTGCACGTTGCTGTGATCCTGAACAGGTTTCAGTGAAGCTGCCAGGTTAACGTGAACTGGAAATAAGGACCTGGCCAAGGAGCTCTGGTAGCATAGTGGTTACGAATTGGGCTGCAAACCTCAAGGTCAGGAGTTCAAAACTACCAGCTGTTCCACAGGAGAAAGATGAGGCTTTCTGCTCCTATAAAGATTTACAACCTCATACAGGGTCTCTATGAATTAGAACTATCTCTACGGCACATAACAACAACATCTACTTCTGAAAAGCAGTCAGTGTAAACCCTGTGAATCACAAAAGCCCGAGCCTCTTGTGCATGGGGTTGTCATGAATCAGGGGCCAACTTGATGGCTGGTGTGGCACTGTGGGTTAATGCGCTTGACTGCCAGGTCGGTTTGAACCGCAAGGTTGGTGGTTCAAGCTCGCCAGCTGCTCCTCGGAAACCCTGTACAGGGTCACTATGAGTCAGCACAGACTCAATAGCACTTAGCAATACCACCAACAACAAAAGAAATGTTAATAAGGTGGCAAGGACTTGGAATTTGGAAAGGAAAGAGAGATGACACTGAGGGGCTGCTGACCAACTGGAAAGAAAGAATAAACAAGAGAATGAACAGACAGAATAGCTAGAGAAAAGGGAAGAGGAAAGGGGCTTCCAAAAAATAAAGTAATTTGCAGGGGTCTTTCTTAAAAGCTGATCTGACAAGGTTATTATTCTGCCTAAAACATTTTAGTAGTTTATAAATGTCAAACCCCTTAGCATATCTTAAAAGGCCCTGATGATATAATAAGACTCCCATTTCCAAAGCTTCCGTTGGCCAGTCATATGAAATAACTAGCAGGTTCCAGAATATCCCATTCCTCCTGGCCTGCCACCTCCCCCAATTGGAAAATACTGCTAGGGCTCAGCTTAGCAGCATTACCTTATCACCTGTCAGGTGTGATCATAAAGCCTCCCCTGACTCTTCCTCCCCGAGAGAGGCGAGGCCAGCCTTTCCTTTGCACTGACTGTGTCTGTGCTAGAGAAGCAAGTAGTCAAGTTTGATTCACATTAGAAGCAGTCTGAGCTGATTCATGAGGGTTGGAGAAAGTCTGCATTGCTGCCTCTCTGCCTCCAATGTAGATTCCCTGAGAGTGTTTGTCTCTTACCTTGCAAAGTTGAGGACCCAATATCCCACCCAAGCTGAGTAGGCAGTGCAGGCTGCGAGGCATCTGGGAAGAGTGAAGTCGGGTTTCAAAGTTACTTTCTTTCACCTTCCTTCTCTCAGGAAAAGATGCAGCTATCCTTGGACAAACTCCTAATAACCGGACACACTCCTGAAGAACCTGAGACTGTGGTCATCAGTGAAGTCATTCATCAAGTGGCCCCAGCCTTCAGACATCCCCATTGCTCCAACTGGCCAAAAAGGAGACAAGGAGTCCAAGGTCACTATACCCCTGATGAAGACATAACACCTCCCAGAACCCTCACAGCTGAGACGAGACAACTAGGGGATCTGTACCAGGTGCTGGGGGGCAGAGGCTCAAAACCTGGAATCCCAGTCAGCTCCTTGACAGTCTTCCCAGTGGACTACCTTCCCACCCACGAGGGTTACTTACCCTCCAACATAGATTATCTCCCTTCACATGAGACTGCTAGTTCTGAGCCTCTGGAAGAGCTAGAGCCTCAGCACATCACCTTGTCTCTGTTCCCCTCAAGTTCCCTTCTCCCACTCAGTTTCTCCTATGGTGAGAAGCTGACTCTAGATCAGATAAAGATGGGGTGTGACTGACTCCCTTATGCTCTGAGAGATGACACTTGACATCAATGAGCCCCCAACTAGCACAGCACATCCCATTTACTCAGTCCCTTCTCCAAGAGGGGTAACATTACACATTCTAGTAGTTATCACCTGGGTGCTGCCATCAAGTCTGGGTGCCACTGGTGAACAGGCAAGTCAGCTCATGGTGATTGAAGTTTTAGGGAATGGTTTATCACCCAGACACTTCATCTTGCCTTCTCCAGAGCCTCCTTAACATTATGCCCATCATCCTGTGGAGACATCAACCTGGGCTCCTGGCAACGTTCCTGGCTATGCTGGACAGAGAGGGAAAGAGGAAGAAGAAATCAAAACTCTTAGTAGCAATGATAAACAGTCCACAGAACCATTCTTGCAACAAATATGTATAAAGTACATACTCTATAACAAGCCTTATTCTCTACATTAGTACTGTGGAACAGAACTTTCTAAGATGATGTTGTTGTTGTTGTTAGGTGCCATGGAGTCGGTACCAACTCATAGCGACCTTATGCACAGCAGAACAAAACACTGCCGATCCTGGGCCAACTTCACTATTATTGCCACACTTGAGCCTAGATGATAGAATGTTCTGTATCTCTACTGTTGAATACTATAGACAATAGCAACATGAAACTGTTGACTACTTGGAATATATTTATCATGACCTAAGCACTGAATTTTAATAATTAAAATACACACAGTGGCTTGTGACTACCACAGTAGATAGTGTAGCTCAAGATGGTGACTACACTGTTGAGTAGAAGAGTCTTCAAAACAAATTAGCCTAGTTTTATGGACAAGGACATAATCATGCATAAATACCAATTATAAAAGGGCCCCAAGATAATTACTGTCCTATTTGATGAAGCCTACCTACACAACATTATTTTCTCATTTTTCTTTGTTTTGCTATCCTACTGCGATTTGGTTTGGTTTGGGCCCTCTTTCAATGTATTTCAAAGAGCGGGTTGGAGTGCTACAGTAAACTCAATTGTAAGACTTTCAGCAAGTTTTCCTCATGAAGACTTACGGTGGTCCTCAAGCAGTTTAACTTGAGCCCGGAAGATAATTCTCTTTTCAAAGGCATGCACTGGGAAACTGATGCATGCTTTACACCTTGAGAGCTGTGGGTCCTGGCTTATCGCCCTCCCTGCTCCCTTTATGCCTTCGCTATTAATACTTCTTCCATTGAGCTACTGGGATCAGCTTATCCAAACTACTGAAAGAATAGGATGAAAAGTCCAACTCACACCCCAAATCTAACACTGGAACTGGGACAACTTCTCAATTATCTTTTATTTGGATTTCTATGTTAAAAAACAGTTACAGGTGTATTTTTTGTTGTTTGTTGATGTTAAGTGCCATGGAGTCAATTTCAACTCAAAGTGACCCTGTATAGGGTTGCTGAGGCTTGAGCTACAGACCTTGCGGATCAAACCACCCTTATAGTCCAGAGCATTAACCCTCAGTGCAACACCAGGACCAGTATACATACATATACTTCTTCCCTAACTCACCAAACTAGTAATGTCCAAACTAATTCACAGTCCCAAACCTACTGCTGTCTAGTCAATTCTGACACAGAGCAACCCTAGAGAACAGAGGAGAAGTGCCTCACAGAGTTCTCAAGGCTGTAATCTTTATGGAAATAGACTACTGCATCTTTCTCCCATTGAGCAGCTGGTGAGTTCAAACCACTGACCTTTTGGTTAACAGCTGAGGACTTTAACCATGATGCCACCAGTGCTCTTCAGTTCAAAGCCCAGTCCTATATAAATAACTATTCTCTGCATTTTTGGTTTACCAGACTTCCCAGAGCTCTAGGAGCTGATGTTCATGTTGAAACTCTATACCTCCTTGCTTCCTGACATCCCAGACCTAATAGTTACTTCTCCCAGGCTCTCTTTAAAAAGCCTAACATCTTTCTTTACATTTCTATTTTGCTTTTCTGATACCCTTTCACATCATGGTTTCTTGCTTCTCAACATTAGCTATGGCTTGTTTGCACCTAGGGTGCAGTGCCCCTCCTTCACTGCTTTCTTGCAATACCCATTTTCCCTACCTTTGGTTTTCTTTGGATTATGTGCTGTCCATTTTAGCTACTCTCCTCATTTGCCCTTGTCCCTATCACTGGGTGTTCACTTTCCCTTTTACTCCTGCTCCTTTTCCCTTCCCTTTAAGCCCCAGGTACTGCAGTCTTCAATTGTTTCCCTAAAAGACAGTATTTGAAGTTGAACATCACCTCTTCTGAAAAGTCTTCCTTGGCTCCTTTAGGCTGCAGCAGATTCCCCTCCTCCAAGCTTCCAGAGCCCTTACTTCCTCTACTGAACCCAGCACCATGCTTGGCCCACAGTTGTGATTGGGTCCATTGTTGTGACTGTTAGTTTCCAACTCAATAGCGACTCTGTGTACAACAGAATCAAACACTTCCTGATTCTGTGCTAGTCTCACAATTGTCATTGTTGGAGCCCATCGATGGAGGTACTGTATCTGTCCATCTCCTTGAGGGTCATCTACTATTTTTCTAATCCTCTATCAAGCATGATACCTTTCTTTAGGAAATAGTCTTTCCTGACAACATGTCCAAAGTACAAGAAATGTAGTACTTCTTCCAACACAGATTTAAAGTTGTTCTTCTCTCAGTCCATGGTATATTCAAATGCATCAATTCTTCTCCCATCCTCCTTATTCATTGCCTAACTTTCGCATGAAGTTCTGGTGTGGCACAGAAGGATAGACACTGAACTACTAACTGCAAGGTCGACAGTTCAAACCCATAAGCTGGAATCCTTTACAGGGTTGCAACAAGTTTTCTCATGCAAACAAAGGTGATTGAAAATGCCCTGGCTTGGTTCAGGGCACCTCAGTCCTTTGCTTTTTAACACTTGAAAAATGTCTTTTACATAAGATTTGCCTAATGTTCATTTTATTTCTTGACTGCTGCTTCCATGGGAGTTGATTGTCGATCCAAGTAAAATGAAATTCTTGACAAGTTCAATCTTTTCTCTGTTTCTATGGTGTTGCTCAATAAAAAGTAAAAGATGTCATCTGCCACCTCTTTGCTCGTGTTCCTTATTTCAAGTAGCTGTGCCTGCTTACTCTTTATTTGCACAACTGACAGTCTGCATTTGTTTTTCATAGCCAGTCCCCATTTTACCCCATTTTCATTGAAGGTGCTACTGTGATACATGGAGAGAGGGTTCTTAAAAACATTATTCTATCTGCTCACTCTGCCAGGTAAAATACCATTTTTATGAATGACAGGATGCCTTGCCTTTGCAAAGTAGCTCTCTCAATTCCAACTCTCCTAGTCAAAACCCCAAACCAGGTTGACTAGAAAGGCTTCACTAACACCCACACAGCTTTCAATACACAAGAAAATAAATGCACCATGGTTTTAAGCCTCACTCCTGATATACGAGTACATCCCGAAATCACCCGGAGATTTCTGTTCTACTGAAACTCACATAGCAATTCACTTAATTCTCTGGGACCTAAATGAGCCCCTGAGTGCATTTTTAATAAATTCAGGGAAATTTCCACTACCATTTCTTACAAACAGATTCTTACTTTAATTTTTCCTGAAAAGAGCCCCTCTTTCCTAGAAGCCAGAAATGCTGTTTCCTTCTGACTCATAGAGGAGATCCCATGTGTGTCAAAGTAGAACTGTACATCAAAGGGTTTTCAGTGGTTGATTTTTCAGAGATAGATCATCAAGTCTTTCCTCTGAGGTAACTCTGGGTGTCAACTATTTGGCATTGTTGTTAAGTGCCATCTAGTTGGTTCCACCTTATAGCGACCCTAAATAGAATCCGAGGAGCAAGGGGTGGGTCTCAACCACTGACCTTGTAGTTAGCAATCAAGTGTTTATCCTACAAGGCCACACACCAGGACTCTACTAATAGACGTTAGGAAAGCCAAACTAATGTCCACTCTGTCCCATTTTCTCAGCTTCCATTAATAACGGATGCAACTCACAAATGTCTTGAGGCCAGTGAAAAAGAAGCCAAGTTGAGCGCATTCTATTCTATGTGCCAACTCCATGTGTTAGATTGTTTTTTCTCCGTTATCCTTGCTTTCAACTGATGCAGCTGTCACTTGTTCTAATATCATTTCTAAAACTCTCAGGAAAGCCCTGGTTTCCTTTCCTAGCCTGAAGGACTCAAAGAAATTCACATCATCCACCTGTTAAAGAGACAGATAGGTGAACCCTGAGTAAAACACCATTTCAAATAAAAACCCAGAAAGGTCTTGCTTTACCCCTAAAAAAGGTTAGAAATTCAATCAGCTGCTTGACCAATGGGGGGAAAAAAAACCAAGTCGGATCTTTACATCACAACACACCAGATTAAATTTCCAACGGATTAAAATGAAAATCTTGTAAAACATATATATAGTACACACACAAACTTAGAAAAATTATTGTCATATATGCTAAAAACAGTTTCCTTAGTAAGAAACCCTTACAGATCAATATGAAATGGGCAAAACTTCAAAAAAAAAAAGGGGGGAGGGAGACAATTCCAGTAATCAGGAAAAGCCAATCACCAATAATATAAGAAATACAAATGAAGATACTATTTTTCACTTATGAAAGTGTTAAGTGCCCTCAAATCAATTCTGACTCATAGTGACCCTATGTAGGGTTTCCAAGGAGTGGCTGATAGGTTTGAACTGCCGACCTTTCCATTGTTGTTATTGTCGTCATCAATTTGATGACAAACCCTGTATAGGGTTTCTGAGGAGCGGCTGACGAGCTTGAACTGCCAACCTTGCAGTTCAAACCGACCATTCAGTCCAGTGCATTAACCCATGGCACCAAAGCAGCCTCGCAGTTATCCTACAGCATCACACCACGACCAGATTGGTAAATATTAAAGAAAATCAGCCAGTCTTTTAATAATGGAAATTGGTGTTTGAAACGGGAGTGTTAACTGACCCCTTTCTGAAAGGCAATTGGGTAATCAATAAAATGCAAATAAACAACTCTA